AGGTTTGATCATAATAATCATCGTAACATTTATTAACAAATAGCGGCCTTGCATCGAGTGTTAACACCCTAGCTTACCGTCATGCATCAAACAAAGCTTTTTAATTTGTCAAAATATCATTTTTATTTCCTGAAATCATATTCAAATTGATCATAATTGATTGGTGTCAAAAAAAGGATTTAATGATTCACAAATCGGATTTTCTTGAAAATTATGGGATCAAACGGTACCTTTTACGGTACCGGCTAACGGTACCTTGGTACCGTGCCGACGGTAGGGGGTACCGCTGGTCTACAGATGCCGCCAGAGGATTCCATTGTCGATGGTAGCATCCTACCGTTCCGCCGATAGCTGGGTACCGTGTGGACGGTACCTAGCTACCGTACCGACGGTAATGTGTTACCGTGCACTGTTCATCATCTTCTTCCTCGGGTCCATTTTCGGGAATTTCATTTTTAGTCACCAAACTTCAATTAAATTTTATAGAAATATTCTCCAATGTTCATAGATCATTTGGGTATCATTAGTTCGTAGTGTTAACAACAATTTCAAGGTTTATGATTCTTGATTCTTCAAACATGTCAAACACAAAACACCAAACAACCGTTTATGAACGTTGAAACAATCTATACGAACATTCTAGTCAGAAGATATATCTACGGGCTTACCTCCAAGCTAAACGATGATTCCGGCGGCTGAACAGCGAAACTTCCAGCGAACACCACGGCTTGCTCTCAGGACTTCTCACAAAATTGACAGCACCACGGCATTCCTCTCTCAACAAAGAATAGAATAGGGGGAAAATAGAGAGATTTGGTGAAGAAATGGCAGGATGACCCTTCCTTATATAATGGTGAAGAGGAAGAAGAAGACACTATTTTGAGGAAGAAGAAGACACTATTTTGAGTCAGTGAAGAGGAAGAAGAAGACACTATTTCGGGGTGATTTAGTATGATACTTCCCTGATTGAGACCAATTTTGGTTCCAATCGGGTACACTTATCGGTCCAACTTTCTCTGAATTAGATTCCGTTTACAGTCGAATTCTATTCAATGGTATACTTTTCCTAATTATTTGTAATACTTTTTCCGACATCATATTTTTGGGTATTTGACTCTAACAGAAGCAAAATTGATTCAGTTGACTTTTATTCAAAAAGGTTCTCATATTTAATTCATATTAATTACTCTCATGATTTATTTCGATAAATCATTTTAAAGTTTACATCATAAATAATTTCTTCATTTATTCTTGATTTGGGTTTGTACTCAGGTTCCCAATCAAGACCACACAAATAGTCAACCTATTGGATTTAATCTCTATGAGATTTATCCTAATTGTGATATTGGATATCAAAACATATTTCGTATCGGTCCAAAGCCTAACAACAATTTATTTTAATCAAAACAAATTTAATTAATTGAATAATTTATCCATTAAAATTTTAGGGTATGTTTTGGGGCGTTACATTGTTTTTAGGGTTTGTTAGCATTTAACTTCAAAGTTTTAAAAATTCAAAGTGTGAAAAAAATTATGGTGAACTTTTTCACTCATTGTGATTAGCATCACAGTAGTCGTTGTTAACTTTGTAGTGTTCTGTGGTGAGCTTAAGAATCATCTAACCATTGCATGCATCATCTTACCGTAAGAACGTGTGTGTGTGTGTGTCTATATATATATATATATATATATATATATATATATATATATATATATATATATATATATATATATATATATATATATATATATATATATATAAAACAAGTGGTGTATGTGCTCGAGTGGTTGGATGCGTGTTTTAGGTATCATTTGGTTGTGGGTTCGATCCCTCTTTATATATATATATATATATATATATATATATATATATATATATATATATGGATTGACTCCAGTGAGATGACACCTTATGGTAAGATGACATGCTTCAATGAGATGACACAACACACATCACTGCCAATGAAAAGCTCACCAACTGTCAATGCAAAGCTCACCACTTTTTTTAAATAAAAAAAGTTAAAAAAATAACACCACCACTCAGCCACGACTCAACCACCGCTCAACCACCGGTCCACGGCAACAGTGGGAGGCATCGGTGGTGGACATTAGTCATGGGCGGTCAAAGTGTAAAGCTCACCAACTATCAATGCAAAGCTCACCAACTGTCAATGGAAAGCTCACTAAGGAACAATGCAAAGCTCACCACTTTTTTTTTAAAAAAAGCTAATAAAGCGAAGCTCATCACACTACACTACAAAGCTCACCAATGGACAATGCAAAGCTCACCTGGAAATAAAGCAAAGCTCACCACTTTGAACCCCAAAACTCACCTTTTTTTAAATTTTAAAAATTAAAAAATTAATTAAAAATAAAATAACAACACCGGTCAACCACCGGTCAAGGGCGGCGGAGCAGTAGTGGCGGCCGGAGCCCGACGGCGGCAGCCGGAGTCCGGCGACGGCGACCGGATTCCGGCGACCGGCGACCGGCGGCGGCGGACAGCGACCGGCGGGGGGCGGTGACCGGTTTTGGGCGACCGACGCCGGCGGACGGCGACCGGCTGCGGCGGTGACCGGATTCCGGCGACCGGTGGCAGGCGGCGGTCAATGCTGGCGGTCAACAGTCAAAGTCCAGTCAGCACCCTTTCCTTTGATTTTTTTTTGGAAAAAAATTCAAAGTGTTGAAAAAATATGGTGAGCTTTGCCTTACACTTTGGTGAGATTTGTAGTTGTCTTTAGTGAGCTTTGCAGTGACCAGTGGTGAGCTTTGTGTCATCTTACCGAAGCATGTCATCTCACCGTAAGGTGTCATCTCACTCGAGTCAATCCCATATATATATATATATATATATATATATATATATATAGAGTTGGGTTTCCGGAGTTGCGACACGTGGCAGATCTACATGGAAAATGTTTTTACCAGGGCCGGCCCAATAGGGGGACAAGGTGTCCGTCCGGGTCGGGCCCAAAAATTTTAGGGGCACAAAAAAAAATATTTTTTAAGTGTTATATATATGTATAAAAGCCCAGGCCCAATCCACCCATAACCCTCCCCTTAACTTATTGCCTCTAGCACTCTAGCCCAGTCCATTTGTATTCTGTAGACCAAAAAAGACGGAAGAAAAGCTGCAAGTGCCTATCGAAGAAACGCAAAACGTCAAGAAAGGACCGGAACTCCGAATCGCCAACCTGCACGCAGCACGCCTCCATCGCCGGACGCCGAGTCGCCCACCTGCATGGCTCCATCCTCCAGGTAATTATTCATAGCCTTCCTTTTCCAATTTTTTAATTTTTATTTCTTAAATCCTAATTTTCTTTCATTGTTTCATTTTTTAGATTTAAAATCTAGGATTATTTCTTAGTTTTTAATTTCAAATCTTTTTTAATTTCAATCTTTGAAATAGAATGAATGAATGGTTCTATATGTTATTTATTTGATTTGGATGAATTGATTTGAATTTTATATTTATGATAATTACATATTTATATTAAAAAAACTGAAAATAAAAAAAAATTAAAAATTGATAAATTGATGAATTGATATGAATTTATGATTTATAAAAAATTAAAACTGAAAAAGAAAAAAAACCATTAAAAAAGAAAAATTGATTAATTGATATTAATTTATGATATATTTATTTATTTATTTGCTTGCTTTTTTCAGTTTTTTATTCTTGATTTTACTTAGTAGTATTTATGAATTTGGATTTTATTTCAGAAATAATTCAATAGCTATGGCTCCTAAACAATTATCTGGTAGTCAAAAAAGAAAAAAAAAAGAGAAAACGAGATGAAGAAATGAGAAAGTCTCAAGCTGGGATATAAGTTTGTCATTTATTATTTTATTCTAATAATATTACGTTAATTATAATTTAAATATAATTAGTTTACATATGTGAATTTTTTAGATCATTAAGAATAGGACTTTTAGGGCCTTTTTTTTGTTTCGGCCCAGGCTGATTAATCCTCAGGACCGGCCCTGGTTTTTACAAATCATCCGCCACCTATTATGACTTTGATAACATAGCAATTTTTGTTTAAAATGTGTAAAGATTAGTTTCTACTTAATATACCGAGTATACATACCTTATAACTCTAGTAGATTATAATTACAAGAATTAATATCTAAAACAATTTCTACAATCCAATCATTGACTTACTTTTTATAAGTAATGGATCAAAGTGCATAGCCATTAAATTCAAACATTTCTATAGACATTTTTTCATCTGTAAATAATTTAAATTATTGTGGTAATTCAAAATTTGAAATTGTAAAAATAATTTATTTTTATTTTTAAAAATAATATAAATTTATATTATATGTAATTAAATTTAAAAATAATATAAAGACTAGGCTTGGATTCGTTTTGTTTTATGAAAAACAACACTAATTAAAAAATCATTATTGTTTATAACTATCAGCCCGTATCCAATGTGCACGAAACAACATTACTCGGTGGATGAATTGAATTATTTAAGGGTATATTGTCACTTTATGTTCTTGTGTCTTTATATTTACAATGAGATTTAAAGTTTTTTGGAATTTAGAACTCTAGGTTCGGCATTAGTAGACAGTAGCTATGGCTCAGTGCATTTTAGATCATATTGTTGATATCATTTTTATAAAAAAAAATGAAATTTCAATATTTATATTAATCTTCTTCATTTTATGTTGTGTACTTCCAATTGTATTCTGTTCATGTAGAAAGCTATTCAAGAACAGTAGAGAGAGGAGGTAGTTGAGTTAGTTATTTTCTCTGCTATATGACATCCATCGTTTTTTCCACAAGTAATGAATGCCTGCTGGGCTCCAATGGTTAAGTCGAACCGGGAAAAAACGTACGTACGGATATCCCTGAACTCCTTGGTGATCCATCAGGTGGGGATTCCACCCACCCAATGAAGAACTCCTTCATTGGTTAAGCATGACCCGCTAATCCAGTGAGAACCCTCATGTCTCCCATACAGTAAAGTCATAGTCCTTAGACTAGAATAGGTTATAGGGACAAGGCTTGGTGATCCACCAAGCATGATAAACTCACAGGTTTGAGGTGAATGGAACAGGCAAGCGCTAGGTAAATTGTGTGAGTTGAACTGTGCATGTTACATATATGACCTACGTGTTGATTGCATAATATCACTTGACTATTATGAATTGTAGATTCCTTTGATTATTTACTTGACATTAGTTATATCTCACTCAGCGTCAATGCTGAGCATGTAGTTGTTTGTGTGCTACACGCAGATAATCAGGTAGAAGATGAATCTAGAGCCGATCCCGGAAGGCGATGAGGACGAGGAGATGTGGGTGGAGCTAATGGAGGATATGGAACTCTTAATTATTTATGAATAACTTAATACGTCTTCGGGCATGAGTCCCAAGTTGCATTTATTTACTTATCAAGCTTCCGCACTATTTCAGTTTACTCTGATACTGGATTTTTGATGAACCGTTGGATGTTTTCCTAATTTTTTTTTGAAAAGTAGAGTATGTTAGATACCGGAATAGTGGCAACCCGGTTCACTAACCTGTGGATCCAGGTTATGCAGGTTGGGGTATTACATTTCGGTATCTGAGCATATGGTTTTAAAACCGATCTTCAGATCACGAATGAATGATTTCCAAAAGGATACACCACATCTCTTGAGACTCATCTGCCCCAGGAAGGTAATAAGTAAATAAGCTTTTTCTGTTATATGTTGTTGACTGATTAGGAAAGTTTGAATTCTTATAGAATGAGTCAAGCTTCCACCCACGGTCAGGGTAACACCCACCACATCGACAACGAACACATTGATGTCCATGCTGAAGGATCCAGCTTCGTTCCCCACAAAACGCGGGACAACAAAACGTGCCCCAGAACGAGGGAAACCATCATAATGTTGGAGGTCAGCCATTCCCCATATTACCGGCTTTCATGATGCACTTCCTACAGCGAATGGAGCAAGCACAGTTGTTCCAGCTGCCACCACCTCCGCCACCGGCTCGACAGGTCACTCTAAAGACATTAAAGGACAATGGCGCTGAGGAGTTTCTTGGCGACAACATTGTTGAACCACAGATTGCCTTCGACTAGTTAGATCAAACCACAAGGGTACTAAAGAACTTGATGATTCTAGAAGCTGATCGCCCTGAGCTAGCTGTCCAGTTGCTTTGGAAGGGGGCATATGAGTGGTGAAAGAGAGCAAGTGAGAACGCTCCTGAGCCACTAACATGGGCATATTTTGATAGCTCCTTCCAGAAGGAGTACATTCCACCTCGTTTCCGAGAAGGAAAACGAGCTGAGTTTGTGGCTTTGAGGCAGGGAGACATGACGCTCCCTGAGTTTTAACAGAGGTTTGATCACTTGGCCCAGTTTGCAAGAACTTTGGTGGGTACCGAAGCAGATCGCATTGAGGAGTTCACTACCAAACTCCAACCAGATATACAACCCTACTTGTCAGTTTTGCCAACAACAAACTTCACAGCCGCGTACAACCAAATAGAGAAAGCCGAGAAGGGGCTGATTGCATGGAAGAAGAGTGTGGCCGGTTCTAAGGAGCAAAGCACCCAACAAAAGGGCGGTGTCACGTCGGGTGGCAAACGAACCCCTGGTGGAGGTCACAACATGCAACATTCCAAGAACACCAAGTCAGGACCAGCCCAGTCTGGAGCATCGAGCAGCAAGCCGCGACCATCCAGGCACCCTAAGTGCAATCTCTGCGGAAGGAACCATCCAGGAGAATGCTGGTTCACGCACGGGCTGTGCCTGGGATGCAGTAAGGCAGGACACTTCAAGAGAGATTGCCCTACGAATTCAGGACCCGTGTTCCCTACCGCCGAGACGCAGACACAGCCGTCTGCGGCCCGTCCTCCACAGAGCCAGCGCACTACCGCGGGATTGAACCTGCGAAGGAGCCAGAGTCAAAGCCAAAGTCATGACCGCCAACAAGGAGGAACTCTAGCGCGCACCTATGCCATGTAGGGGCGAACCGAAGTAAACAGGGACGTCATTCTAGGTATGTTCTCACTATTTGATACCCACATGCTAGCACTTATTGATCCGGGTTCTACTCTATCTTATATTTGCATCCCTGTGCCGGAAAAGTCTGACATTTCGAGAGGCGACTTAGAGTACCCCATGATAGTGTCCAATCCATTAGGGCATAGAATGAGGTTACACCACGTGTTCCGAAATTGTCCATTGATCGCCCACGGACTAGTACTCTCTACGAACATAATAGAGCTACCATAAAAGGAGTTCGATATTATCCTTGGCATGGATTGCCTGACAGAGCATCAAACGATAATCGATTGCGGACTATGCACCGTACGACTGAAGGCCGACGACGATGGGCTCATTGAAGTTAAGGGGGAATTGTTACCTAAGCCCCCTGAGTTCGTATCCCTTATGCAAGCCAAGCGTCTCATCCGTAAGAGATGCAAGGCCTTTCTTTGCAATGTACGCGATGTGCGTAAGATGACCCCCAAACTGAAGGACATCCCCTCAGTGAATGAGTTACCAGATGTGTTCCCCGATGATCTCCCTGGCCTACCACCTCCAAGGGAGGTGGAATTCTCCATCGATCTGATTCCAGGAACCGAGCCCATATCCGCAACATCGTATCATATGGCACTGGCAGAAATGAAGGAACTGAAGGCCCAACTCCAGGAACTTCTCGACAAGGGATTTATTAGATCGAGTGCGTCCCCGTTGGGAGAGCCAGTTCTCTTCATCAGAAGAAGGACGGTTCCATGAGGCTTTGTATCGACTATCGACAGTTAAACAAAGTAACCATCAAGAATCGCTATCCCTTGCCACGCATCGATGACTTATTTGACCAACTCAGAAGAGCCACAGAATCCTCCATGATCGACCCTTGATCGGGATATCACCAGATTCCGATCAAAAGGGAGTACATTCCGAAGACTGCCTTCCATACACGCTACGGGCTTTGAATTTACGGTGATGCTGTTTGGGTTGACTAACGCCCCAAAAATATTTATGGTTCTTATGAACAGAATCTTCCGTCCTTTGGATCAGTTCGTGGTGGTATTCATCGACGACATCCTAGTGACATCCTATTTGAGTGTTCTTAGAGAACACAAACTCTACACCAAATTGTCAAAATGTGAGTTTTGGCTCAACAAAGTCACATTCCTAGGACATGTCATTTCGAAGGAGGGTATCAAGGTGGACCCCAGCAAAATCTCAGCTATCACGGAGTGGAAGACTCCCAAGAACTCACGCAAGGTGAGGAGCTTCCTCGGTTTAGCTGGATATTACCAGCGCTTCGTGGAAGGTTTCTCCTCCATTGCAACTCCACTAAACAAACTCCTGAAAAAGGATGTCAAATTCATTTGGACAGACGCCTGCCAATAGAGTTTTGACCAACTGAAGAAATGTTTGACTAAGGCACCCGTGTTGGTGCAGCCCATACCGGGAGTGGACTACACTGTGTTCTGCGACGCATCCCATAATGGGTTGGGATGTGTGCTTATGCAGGAGGGTAGGGTCGTAGCCTACTCTTCGCGACAACTGAAACCACATGAGTGCAATTACCCCACCCACGATCTCGAGCTAGCAGCAGTAGTATTTGCATTAAAGATATGGTGACACTACCTGTTTGGAGAAACGACATACATACATACATACAGATCACAAAAGCCTGAAGTATTTGCTTACGCAGAAGGAGCTGAACCTGAGACAGAGAAGATGGTTAGAATTGTATAAGGACTACGACTGCTACATTTATAATCATCCGGGTAAGGCCAACATGGTGGCCGACACTCTGAGTACGAAGACCATGGCTGAATTGCGATTACAGCCAACTCTGAGGAGTGAGATTTGCACGGCCAAGAATGAGGATGAATACTGCGCAAAGACTAGGGAGCTTGTCTCTAAGGCGGAGAGACAAGACTTCACCATCGACAATGACGGAGTCTTGTTCCACCGGGATCGCCTGGTGGTGCCTAGTGGTGAGGTGAGGGAGCGCCTGTTGCGTGAAGTTCACAGGACTACGTACACCATGCACCTAGGCAGCAACATGATGTATCAGGACCTCAAGAGGACATACTGGTGGCCGACCATGAAGAGGGAAATATCAGAGTTCACTTCTAGATGCTTGACCTGTCAGCAAGTCAAAGCTGAGCACTAGGTTCCGAGTGGGTTGTGGGAGCAAATCACTATGGATTTCGTGATTAGACTTCCACTGTCAGCCCAAAAGAACGACGCAGTTTGGGTCATCGTAGATCGACTGACGAAGTCAGCTCATTTCCTGCCGATCAGGAGGGACTTCTCGTTGCAGAAATTAGCCGAACTCTACATCCGTGAGATTGTCAGATTGCACGGGGTACCCGCGTCTATCATTTGAGATCGCAATCCGCGATTCACGTCACAATTTTGGAATGGTCTACAGAAGGCTCTTGGTTCCAAGCTCAACTTCAGTACAACATTTCATCCACAGACTGATGGCCAGTAAGAGAGAGTAATTCATATTTTAGAAGACATGATGCAGGCTTGTGTCATCGATTTTGGAGATAATTGGGAGCGATATCTGCCACTTATGGAGTTCGCCTATAATAACAGCAATTAGGCTAGTATTCAGATGGCTTCGTACGAGGCATTGTACGGAAGACGTTAAAGAACCCCGGTCAGTTGGACCGAACTAAGTGAACCAAAGCTCGAAGGACCCAATCTCATTTGCAAAACAGAGGAGAAGGTCCGAGTGATCCGGGACAGACTTGAACTGCAAATAGCCTCAGATGGTCAGAAGTCCTACGCCGACCTTAAACACTTGAAGATTGAGCTCAACATCGATGATTTCGTGTTTTTAAAGGTATCACCTTGGAAGAAGGTGTTGAGATTTGGGAAGAAGGGCAAATTGAGCCCCAGGTTTATCGGGCTCTACTGAGTCACCGAACGTATGGGACCGGTAGCTTACCGACTCGAATTGCCTCCAAAATTGAGTAAGATACATGATGTATTTCATGTGTCCATGCTAAGGAGATACCGCTCTGATCCTTCTCATATCCTTCCCGAAAGAACAGTCGCACTCGATGAGAGTTTGTCCTATGAGGAAGAGCCCGTTCAAATATTGGGGCGTGAGGTAAAGGAACTGAGGAACAAGTTTGTTCCCTTGGTCAAGGTGCTCTGGAGGAACCACTCCACAGAAGAAGCAACCTGGGAGACTGAGGAGTCCAAGCGAACCCAGTATCCTCATCTTTTCAGCGACCAATGACTCAGGTAATTTTGAGGACGAAATTATTTTAAGGGAGAGAGAAATGTAACGCCCCGAAACCCGGCCTATCCGAATTAATTAATTAATTATAATTAATTAATTATTGAGATAGACCCGAGATTTATTTAAAGTAGTTAGCAATATATATTAAAATTTATACCGTTGTGAAGGGTTCGACGGAACGAATCCAATGGCGCGATCAGATTTGGATTTGGAACCCGTGGGCCTAGAAAGTGCATTTGGGCCAGGTACGCTAAGTTAATACGGAGCCCAAATCCCAAAAGTATAAATATATGCCTACACACCTGAAATCCTTTACGCCTTCATAATATCCTCACATAACCGCACGTCTCTCACTCCCTCTCTCTATCGACAACCACTGAAGCGCCCAGGAGGAAAAAGAAGAAGAAGAAGAGAAGAGGAAGGAGGAAGGGGTCGCCGGCCAACCATCGTCGTCCCGTCGCCGTTCAAGCCTTTCATTCGTGAGTTAGTTTTGCCGTTTCGAGGTGAGTACGTGGAACCCTAACGTTAGAGTAGGTAATTAGGTTTGAAATCTACGTTTGTAATCATCGTGAGGATTGAATTGCATGAAAACCTATTTGATATGATCATTCGGGAATTGTTGGGTTTTGATGGAAACTATGGGTAGAATTCATGTTTTAAGGCATATTTTAATATTACGTGATTATGTGATATTCATTACGTGTTTATCATCATGCTTGAACATTGAATTGGAGAATCGGTGTTGAATGCCCAGTGGAAAACGAGCTGGTGCAGAAACTAGAACTGTCACGGCGAACGATAGGTCGGTACCACCGGGACGGTACCCAGGTACTGTCACCTTCCTCGTTTTCACCTCCCTCTGCTGGTACCTGTCACAAACCGGTACCCTGGTACCAGGCAGATGGTAGGCCCTATCGCCCAATCGGTAGCGGTCACCGTGACAGGGTACCGTGTGAAGGCCAAAGGCATTCTGGTCAATACCCACGTACTATGGAACGGTACCTTGGTACCCTGGGGCCGGTACCCCCTACCGCTAAGGGTACCGTGAGGTAACTGAACTGGACAGCAAACTACGTTTCGCCGAGGACGGACTCCGAGGCTTGTGTGTATTGCATGACAAGAAGTCAAGGGTGTCAACACCCTAGGCCAACCACTAAATGATATATCTCTGTTACAAGGTGTTGATCCAACGCGTGTTTGACTATGTGAAATATATATGTTGCATATGATATTGCAAGTACAAGTGGCCTGATCCAGCCGCAGCAAGCAAGTACCACGTGTTGATCCAACACGTTTGGTAAGGTAAGTCTACCCAGGGGGAATCCTTGGGACCGACATAAATATAGAAATTAAGAGTATAAACTAGGTGGATGCTAGCTGGGCTCCAATGGTTAAGTCGAACTGGATAAAAACGTACGTACGGGTATCCTTGAACTGCCTCGTGATCCACTAGGTAGGGATTCCACCCACCCAACGAAGAACCCATACAGTAAAGTCATAGTCCTTAGACTAGTATAGGTTATAAGGACATGGCTTGGTGATCCACCAAGCATGATAAACTCACAGGTTTGAGCTGAATGGAACAGGCAAGCGCCGGGGAAATTGTGTGAGTTGAACTGTGCATGTGTGACCTACGTGTTGATTGCATGATATCACTTGACTATTATGAATTGTGGATTCGTTTGATTGTTTACTTGACGTTAGTTATATGTCACTCAACGTCAATGCTGAGTGTGTAGTTGTGTGTGTGCTACATGCAGGTAATCAGGTAGAAGATGAATCTAGAGTTGATCCCGAAAGGCGATGAGGACGAGGAGATGTGGGTGGAGGTAATGGAGGATTTGGAACTCTTAACTATTTTTGAATAATTTAATACATTTTCGGGCATGAGTCCCAAGTTGGATTTATTTACTTATCAAACTTCCGCACTGTTTAAGTTTACTCCAATACTGGATTTTTGATGAACTGTTGGATGTTTTCCTAAATTGTTTAGAAAAGTAGAGTATGTTAGATACCGGAATAGTGGCAACCCGGTTCGCTAAACCGTGGATTCGGGTTATGCGTGTTGGAGTGTAATAGGATCAAATTGTGCGAAATTTATAAACCATCCGTGAAGCCCAACAGAGCCTGGCCTGAGGCGTCCAACTCATGGACGCTTGGTGAGGTTGGACGCTTCAGGTTTGGATGCTTTGGCTTGATTGCAGCCCAAGAATGACATGCGGCAGAAGCGGAATGGCTGGGACACGTAGCCATTCCGTCAATGATTCCTGGCTCAAAAACGCGTTCTGAACACGTTATCCTTCTGCACCGACTTCAAATTTGGCACCGTTTACGAGATGTGATTATTTCCCTATTAAAAATTAACCCTTTTTATTCTATTCTTGCCCCAATTTTTACATGTTAAATCAAAAGCATTCTTTTTATGACCAAATTATCAAAACACATTCTTTTGATGAAAAAGAATAAAGAATTGATTGATTTGATAATTAAAATGTTACAAGAACGTATTTAATATGAGTAAAAAGATAAGTGTGAAATTGACTTATCATGGTCAATCGGTCCACAATTACCTTGAGAGCATCATTCTTCTTGACTGACAAGGGAAGTTTAATCACAAAGTCCATTATAATTTGTTGCCACTTCCATTCAAAAATGGTAGGCGGATTCAACAGTCAATTTTGTACTTGATGTTCGGCTTTGAGTAATTGATAGGTCAGACATTGCATGGTAAGTTTTGAGATTTCCGGTTTCATTCCATTATGTTTTCCTCACATCTTGGAACATTTTGTTTCTACCTGGATACATGGTATATGTGGTTTCGTGAGATTCACACATAAGACGTTCTCTCACTTCTCCATTAGGGAATACCAAGTAATTCCGATAGAACAAAACTCTATCATTATTGACAGTGAAGTCTTGTCTCTCCCCCTTAAAGACATGCTCTCAGATTTTCAGGTAACACTCATTGTGTTTTTGTGTAGTAGGAATTTCATTTTCTAATGCAGGTTGAAGTCAAAGACCAGCCACATATTTCTAACTTAATGCATCGACTACCATGTTAGCCTTGTCAGGATGATAATAGATGTAGCAATCATAATCCTTAATCAGTTCCAGTCATCTTCTCTGTCTGAGTTTTAATTCTTTCTGAGTCAAGAGTTATTTAAGACTTTTATGGTTTGCATGAATATAAGTAGCCTCTCCAAAGAGATAGTGACGCCATATCTTCAATGCAAATACAACTGCCGCTAACTCGAGGTCATGAGTAGGGTAATTACACTCATTGGCTTTTAACTGTCTTGAAGCATAAGCTATTGTTTTACCATCTTGCATAAGTACACATCCCAATCCATTATGAGATGCATCACTGAAGATTGTATAGTCCACACCTGGTACTGATTGTATTAGTACATGTGTTTCCGTCAAACATTTCTTCAGTGCTTTGAAAATCCTCTAACACACGTTAGTCCACTAAAATTTGACATCCTTCATCATAAGTTTATTCATTGGAGTTTCAATGGAGGAAAAGCATTCAACAAAACATCGGTAGTATCCAACTAATCCAAAAAAGCTTCTCACTTCATGAACATTGCTTTGAACTTTCCATTCTTTGATGGGAGATATCTTGCTAGGGTCCACTTTAATGCCTTCGCTTAAAATCACATGACCCAAAAATGTGACCTCATTAAGCCAAAATTCATATTTTGATAACTTTGTGTAAGGTTTTTGTTCTCTTATTACACCTAGTACTATTTCCAACTGTTTTGTGTGACCATCTTGAGTCTTTATATAAACCAGAATATCAGTGATAAACACAACTAAAAAATGATCTATGTAGGGTCAAAGTACACTATTCATGAGATCCATGAATACTACAAGAGCGTTTGTCAATACAAATGGAATTACAGTGAACTCGTACTGACTATAACGAGTATGAAATACACTCTTCATTATATCATCCTTCTCGATAGGTATTTGATCAAATCCAGATTGAAGGTCGATTTTAGAGAGTATTGCCGCTCCTCTACGTTGATCAAATAAGTCATCAATACGGGGGAAAAGATAGCAATTTGTTATCGTCGCTTTGTTTAATTGTCGGTAGTCGATGTAGAGTCTCATAAAACCGTATTTCTCACAAACAAACAAGATAGGTTCTCCCCACGAAGAAACACTCGGTCGGATGAATCCTTTGACAAGTAATTCTTAAAACTGAGCTTTCAACTCTTTCATTTCAGCAAGGGCCATTCTATAAGGAGTGGCTGATATCGGTCATTTTCTAGGAACAAAGTCGATAGAGAATCCCACTTCTCTTGAAGATGGTAGACTAGGACATTCATCGGGAAATACATCAGCGAAGTAACATATTGTTGGTATGTCCTTCAGTTTGTGGGTTTCATTCCAGATATCATGTACGTTACATAAATAGGCTTCACAATTTTTATGCATAAGATGCCTTGCATGTAGATACGAAATGAACTCGTACGATTTAAGAACTAGCTTGTCTTTAAGCTCTATGAGATTACCATCACCATTCAATCGATAACAGCGTGATATTTGGTCCGCAAATCCATACCAAGGGTAATATAAAATTTCTTGTATGATAATTCGACGAGGTTTGCAAGGAACTGTCATTCTTGGATGATCAGGAAACGATTTTGATATGCATGATATAATCCTATACATGCTTGTATCAAACAAGGAAAAAATACCAATGATGACACCAGGGTTTTCCTCAGCGCATCTCTTCATGGCATAGGTGCGTGCATGAGCTCATCATTGTTGCTGCTTCTGGTTCTTGGGTGGATTAGTTTTCACTGTGTAGCGTTGACTTGGTATTGACATGTTGAAGCTGACTGACTTTGGACATAAGCTGTTGGTAAAGGTTCACCTTGATTGGTGGGGTAGCTCTTTTAGAAATGTCCAGGTTTGCCACAACCTTCACATTGTCCCTGTGCGCAATACCTTAGGTGGTGTCTACTCTTAGAATAAAGTCCAAGCGCTAGAG